CCGAAGTAAAGTTTCTGCGAAAGGCCGAGTCGGCTCAGCGCTGGAATATGTGCTGGTTTTTGCCCGTTAAGATTCTGTAGACGAAACTCTGCGATAGCTCCCCGGAGCCTAGAAAACCTAGATAGTCCAAGGTGCTGAAGCAAAGGCCTAATATTATCTCATGGTAAATACACCGGTCAGCTTGTGAGTTGTGGCAAGAAAAACTCGCTGGAGTTTCTGCATCTGCTTCGCGCCGACATAAGTTTTCTGTTGGAGACGCTTCGACATGCAGCAGCAGCAACAACAACAACAACAACAACAACAACAACAGGGATTTTGCCTTGGGTGCTGTGTGTTGTTGCTGCCATTGCTCAAGCCGACGCGAACCCAGCCATGAGTGTTCCTGTGGACGACGACGACGACGACTGGGGGGACTGGGCGACCGCGGAGCGGGAGCGCGCGGCCCGAGCGCCAACTTTCGGGGTGTTGCCGTGTTCCGCAGGCCGCCGACCAGCGGCGTCCCCGGAAGCTGCTCCGGCCGCGGCGGAGGCGCCGCCTGTGTCCGCGGCAGCGAAGAGAAAGGCCCTCGACGCAGCAGGGAAGCCGGCTGCAGGGGCTGCGCCGGCTGCACCGCCGGGCGGCCGAGAAACGACGCCGGGAGGAGCAAAAGGCGGAAAAGGAGGCCAAAGTGGCGGCTGCCAAAGCTCTCCTGGCGAAAAAGCCCTCGCACAAAAAGGGCCAGAAGCTGAGCGAGCAGGAGACGCGGCGCGTACAGCAGCCCAACGCGTGCTCCGCGCGTGCGAAAAGAAGCGGCCGCGACCAGGCCCTTCGGGACGCGGCTCCGTGGAAACGCAGACCCGGGCGTGGAGGCGCACGTGGTGCGGGCTCACGGCGAGCTGCGGAACTCGCGGAACTTGCAGCAAACGCTGCATTCGCCAAAGCGGAGGAGCAGCTCATCGTCGGAGAGCACGCGGAAAAAGTGGATCTGCACCGTTAAGTGTTATTGACCAATACGTCATCTGGCCGTTTGGTCACTGTGTTCGATCCTGTCACCCCAGGCTTGGAGGAAGCTTGTAGGAATCAAGCATATGTGCATGCATTGGCTGGCTTTTTTTGAGAGCTTTTAGATGGGAGACTTAGATATGACTGAAAAGATGCTGCAATATGCACAATGGCGTTCGGGTACAGGTAGTGCTCTATGTGAGCGCTCTTCATCTCCGCGGTGGTCATACCTCCGCAAAAGGATTTAGTTCAGTCATTATAGTGGCCTGTTTACGACAACCAAGATGTGATCGCATCACATATACATATCTCAAATTATAGTGGCCTTTGTGTGACAAGCAAGAAACAGGATCACTTCGCATATATTTAATATACGTGCAAAGAAACTCGTCAAGTTCTTTCGTGAGATTTTCTGGAAGATGACATTCGCCATATGTAGATAGTGAGAAGAAATTACTGTCGAAGAAGCGATGATAGTGTTGCAAGCAGTATTTGGAGATATGATGTATGGAGAGAAAGTCTGAGTCGTTGAAGTGGCGGTTTGTTTTTGCCACAGCAAAGAGTGATGGCATTCACATATATATATATATATATGTATATAGAGAAATATACAGAATACTTGTGCTATCAATATTTTTGCAGATGTCGTAGTGGGTTGTGTATAAGGAGCAAGGAAAGAGGATCGCAGCGCATACAGCTATTATGCGTGTACAGAGATTGATAAAGTTGTTTTGTGAGATGTTCTTGCAAGACGACATTTGTGTTATGTAAATAGTGAAAAATATTTCGAGTGACTGGAATGTCAATGTAGTGTGAAGTAGTATTTGAGATTCAAATATATAGAGAGAATTCTGAGTCGTCTAAATCGTGCCTGTATGTGAGTTGAATAAGGATGAGATTGTTTTACAATATACATATATGTATACATAGAATGAATATTTGTGATACTAGTTGAAGGAATATTTTTTGGTATATTAGAATGGAGAGAAATTTAGAGTGGTTGAAGATTTGTTTGTAAAATAGCGAAGATATGAGTGATTATATATATGTATATATATATATATATATATATATTTATTTATTTAAAATTGTATGTGGTTGCATATAAAGAATAAGGATAGAGGAATATTGAGTTTATTGAGAGTAGATTGGTGTTTATTGAGAACTTTTACGAAGTAGTCGCGTGTAAGATTTAAATATATAGAGAGAATTCTGAATCGTCTAGTTAGTGCTTATATATGAGTTGAATAAAGATGAAGTCGTATTATATAGAATATTCTTGATTTTTATTATATTCATTTATATACTTGCAATTCTCGAGTTATAGTATTGGGAATCTAGATATGAGAAATTATTATGATACTATATCATCAAATAAATTTCGATTCTTTCTTGCACAATATTAAATCGATATATAGTCTGATTTCATATTAATTAATAATATTAATAAGTATATATATATATATATATATATATAATTTCTAGATATAGATAAGATAACTACGAAAATTCATGATATTGAAAATATAGTTATCTACGTCATTTATATTGGCTCTATTTTATTGTAATTATGAATATATTAAATATATTTGATAGAAAATATAAGTATGAATTGAAATGATAAATATATATATATATATTGAAGAAGAAAATTATTTTTATATGATTTGATATAAAAAATATTTCTATAAATTATAAGATATGAAAATAATTATTCAATAATATATATATATACATATAGAAATTGAATATTCAAATATGCGAATTATTTATATAATTACGAAAAATTAAAATAAATTCTCAATTTCTTATATTACTATTATTATTCGATTTCGAAATTTCTTTTACATTAGTTTGGAATGAATTTCAAATAGAATTAGAAATTGATTATATGTATATATATTGCTTGATAATTTAAATTTCAATATTGATTATTCATATGCAAACATATTAAATCTAATCATATATATATATATATTGAATTTTATACGATTCAATAATATTTACGATTCATATTTTGATATTTTCAAATAAATAGCGGGCAATATTTCATTAATTTTGGTTTATTATGAAATTTCAGAATATATATATATATATATATATCGTTATATTATCGAGATTTTCTAGGTGGATTAGAATGAAAGTAAGTTAAATTCAAATACGAATAGATCAGGAAATTGAATCTTGCAACTGATATTATCAGTATATATACCAATATTAGAAAAGATTTTGTGGCGAGATGATAAAAATATATCTTTTGAATTTTCTTATATTTTATAATTCAGAATTATAGAATGATTCTCAAATCATTCAACCCCAAAAAATTTCGTAATATGATTAATATCGGGAATGATATCTTAAATTTTAAGTTTTTTGCGCGATTAAATTTCGTCATAATTTCTGATCAAAATATACGAACGAAATTATATCGTTTCGATTCACGCGATTGTATCATTTCTTTGCATAATATATCATGCCTAAGTATAATTCCCAATTCCTGGATCTCTTTCGCAATATTTTTTTCATCTTATCCTTTAGGCAAAATAATGCAATGATCATTTTGTTTGATAAGCGCGAATTTAGAAATATTTATTTGATTATTTTTCCGAATAGCCTCGAACCACAAATCCTGTTCGATATATTTGATATTTTTCTATGGATAGGAAAATATATAGAATTTTTTTCGATTATGATATTATTTCGAATTATCGAATCAGTATTGCATACGCAACATTTAAGTTTTGAATTCTAAATCTTTTTCATATATGATCCTCGTGTTAGTTTCGATGGCAAAATTAAGATTAAATATATATTTTTGTATTTCGCACATTTTGTTAGTCATATGACTAACAAATTGATATCCCATGCGCTGCCTGAAACCCTAAACCTTTTTCACTGTTAAACTTCGTGACTATTGTCAATAAGAAACATAAGAACATAAATTAACCGTTTTACTCAACGCAGTTTATATTTTTTCTTTGATTGACATCACATGCCCAAGCAGAAGCCCCAAACCCTAAAATCTTTTCGCAATTATTTTTCGGTTTATCCTCTATGCAAAATAAAGCAATAATGAATTGTTTTTTTGGTATACGCGGTTTTGGGTATATTCGTTTGATTAGCTTCACGTACGAATAGCCTCGAACCCCAAATCCTTTTCGATGTATTTGTTGCTTGTCTGTGGGTAGGAAGATATGTAGAACGTTGTTTTTTTTTTCGATTGGGGCGTTGTTTCGAATTCTACAATCAGCATTACATACACAGCGTCTAAGCTTTGAACTAAAAACCCTTTTCACATATGTTCGTCGTGTTAGTTTCGATGGCAAAAACGAAGCATTCACATACCAAAACTTTTCATAACCAACTGCTGCGCTGGCGCACCTCGGCTGCGCCGCTAAAGGCCGTTCAACACAAGGCGCAGCCTCTAAAATTTAGGATGATCCAAGAGCTCCACCTTGAATCCTAAACCACCGGCTTAGGGTTTTGGGGGTTTCAGGGTTTAGGGTTTGAGAGTTCAGAGCTTAGGGCTTTGGCTTAGGGTTAAGGGTTTCGAGAAATTATAGGGAATAGACTTAGAGCTCATGAGGGTTTTGGTCTTAAACCACAGAAGCACTCAAATTCCTGTCGCCTTCCAGGCTTTCGGATTGGTCGGAGTAGTGTCTTCGCATCTCATCCTCATTGTAGCGGAAGGCAATCAGCTCCAAACTCCAAACAACCCGTAAACCCGCAAACCCCTAAACCCCTAAGCCCAAATCCGTATAGAACCTTATTATTAACTTAGTCTCGAAACCGTATAGATCCCCTTTAAACGAGCCCCAAAGCCCCAAGCCCCAAAACCCAAATCCTTATTTCCGAACCTTATAGATCCCTTTAAAGGAACCCCAAACCCCAAAGCCCCATAGATCCTTATTATCGAGCCTTATAGATCCCCTTAAAAGAACCCCAAAGCCCTATAGATCCTTATTATCGAAATCGGTTGAAACCTTATAGATCCCTTTACAGGAACCCTAAGCCCCTAGGCTGGCCAGCGGCATGGTTCGCGTGAACTATGGCCAGGGTCTGGGAGTTGGCGCCTTCGTCGGGGCCGTGGCGCTCTGTGGCTCGCAGGGACCTCTTTGGGCCGTGGAGGGTGGCAACCAGGCGGTTTCGGGGTTTAGAGTTTAGGGTTTAGGGGTTTAGGGTTTAGGGGATTGAGGGTTTAGGGGTTTAGAGTTTAAGGGTTTCCGGGTGCAAGGTATGACTCATAGAAGCAAGGGTTTTTACGCCTTGGCAGCCTTGCTGTCCCTAAGCCCCAAACTCCCAACACCCGGAGAAGAAGAATATAATATTCCTAGAATATTTCTACCTACATATTAATATATTATATATATATAGAGAGAGAGAGAGAGTAAAAGAAAGAGCCCTCAGCCCCAGACCTTACATTTCCTAGGACCTGGAGTAGGCCCTTATTCCTTTTTTTGAGGGTTCGGGTTCCCTTATAAGCCCCTTTAAACCAAAAAGGGCCACCTTTTTATTCCTAGGCTACTCTTGGGTCTAGTTTCCGACGCAGGTGCTGGCCGCGAAGATGCTGGAGTCTTCTCGCGCCAGGCTGCACAGAGCCAGAGTCTGCCAGGTGGAGGCCAACGACGGGAGGCGTCAGATGTAGCTGTGGTTGTCAACATTAGGGTCCCTCTTTGGGTACCCTAAATGATAGGTGCCGTGCTATAATAGGGACCCAAAGCGGGAACATGATTTTGACAACCATCCATGTAGCTGCGGGGTGTTGTTGAGTTTATTCAGAGTTTAGGGCTTAGATTTTGCCTGAGGAGGAGAATTTCGACCTGGTTCGTTTCATCATGCTGTATTGTGTTGCGAAGTTTTTGGGTCACTCTCATAGCATGCTCAATCACGATATTGAAGCCTTGGAATATTTCATGTGGTATCATCGGGGCCTTATATGCCTTGTTCCGACAGGGTTGTGCAGAGATTTTAGGTGCGTGGGGCTGTGGCAGGTACCGGATTCACGCAGACATGAAGGAAGGGGAACTTCTGACGGAGGACTACGATCTGGTCCTTTGGCATTAGCCTTCAACCTTTTAGGGGTCTTAGGGTACCCTTTAAGGGGTTCCTTTAAGGGATCTATGGGGGTTCTATAAGGGGCTCTTAGTAGTAGACTAGGTAACCTTTAGCCTTTTTTTGGCTAGTATAGTCCCTATATAGTCCCTGTATGACCAAAACGGCTAACCTTTAGTTCCCCATGATACCCGAGAAGTAGGTTACAGGATTCTTTGCTGCTGGCTTCGGGTATATTTTTCGTTTTTCGATTTAAGGTTTTGGGCATGGGAGTTATTTTTAGGTTTCCTTGTGAAAACTCTCCCCAACACCAAACCCTTCACCCCAATCCCGAACCCACAAGCTTGAACTTGTTCGAACAAACTTCAACCCTGAATCCGGGAGATCTCTAAAAAAAACCATCAGAGAGCCCTCGATCGAATTATTGAAGCTCCATGCGCTGCCCTGAACCCCATGGGCCCTGCTTCCCTAAATCCAAAACCCCCAAAGCCCCGAACTCGAAAACCAAGAAACCTGTATAGGACCTTACAGCAGCCCGAAGCCCTGGAAAGATCTTTCTGGCGGTTCCTCTAACATCCATATAAACACTCTCAGGCCCCTGAGAAAGCCCCTCTAACACCCTGTTAAACCCAAGGTCCTGTATAAAACCGTCTTGTTGGAGGGCATAGTTCTAAGTGGAGTTGTAAATCCCCTAATTCGGACTATCATTATAGTTACCTTACTTATAACCCAATTTCTAACTACCCCTGAGCCTCCAAGTACATCCAAGGTCTTCCTGGCGGTTCCGCTGCAGAATTCGCAGGACCTTGAGCTGTCCGGGCGCTCCTCGGAGAACCTCTTCGCCAAGGCGGCTTTCGAGTGCAAAAAGTGGGCCTTAGTAAGTAGAACCCCGTACCTTTAAGGGGTCCTTCTAGGGCTCTGTAAGGGTTCCACAACCTATATATATATATATATATATATATATATATATATTTAGATATATGTATATATACACGAATATTAGGAGATTATTGGGGTTTAGGGATTAGGGAATAACCCTGATATTCTACCGCAGGACTATGAGGGTATATGACCAGTAATTGTGGTTTACTGCCATGTATATGAACACAAATTCTTAGTAGCTGAGTAGGTATCCTTTAACCTTTTGGGTTTCATAAAATACTACTATAATTCGAAACGTTAATCTTTTCTCGGGCTCGGGTATTCAGCCCCCTAAGAATTACTCTGCCCTCCATAGATCAGGCTTATCTTTTTTTTTTGGGGGGGGGGGGGGGGGGGGGGGATGTAGGCACAAAAAAGGCCCTTCGAACCCTGGAGCCGGCAACGCCGTGGGGTAATACTGCTGATGGGCACAATCCTGCATGACCCTAAGGACTCTAAACTATGGGAACTATGGTATATTCCTTATAATGGGTCATGCAGGATTTTGTCCATCAACAGTAGGGTTCAGGGTTTTAGGTGTTTAGGGGTTTATAGAGTTTAGGAGTTTGGGGCTAAGGGTTTGGTAAGGGTTTAGGGTGTAGGGTTTAGGGACTTAGGGTTTAGGGTTCAGGGTTTGGGGTTGGCAGAGGACCCAGAGCCCTGCAGTAAGGTACCCATGTTTCATGGTTCATGCGTGAGCTTCTTCTCAATCCTTGTGGAAGGGAAATCAAAACTTGGAACAAGCACTACACCCAAAATTCCCGATATCCGAAGTCGTGAATCCCAAGTTTCGAAGAGGCGCCACAACCTAAACCCTAAACTCTCCGAGTATAGCGGCCTAAATAACTACCTATACTATTTGGGGGTTCCTAATTGTAGCATAATGGGCCCCAGAAACCCCATTCTAGTTATTGAGGCCCCTATATTCGCTCAGTGCACACTGCACCACAGGTGGTCCGGCCCTACCAGAGGATTTACGCAACGTTCTTCGAGTCGCCACCAGATGCCAAATCCCTGCGTTGCTCAGATCCAGTCCCGGGCATCATTCTGAGCCTGAGTGGACGTTTAAAGTAATTTTAATTTATTCATGGAAGTGATAACAATAGTATTAACAACCACAATAACAATAATGCTATAATGCTAATGTCCCATAGGATTTAGGAAGTACCGGGTTTAGGTGTTCGTGAGTGATATTTCTGTTTGAAGGGCCTTTATGCTTGGAGGTTGTATCATGAATCCTTAATGTGTTTCATCAGGGGCTTATGCCCCAACATTTTTAAACAGGACTACATCATCGCTTCTGCCGGGTCTGTTTATTAGGTGCCTCAGTTAGGCTTCGAAGCTCGAAGGACACCTTGGGCCATTCCGAGCCATGGGGGCAAGGTTGAGGCTTTCAGGCACAACTGTATTGGGTTCAGGGTTTAGGGTTTGCCGTTGATACAGTTCACGTTCAAGCACCAAACTCCCTTCAGCATTCACTTGCTTATCACATGCGGCATGAGAAGTATGGACCGAGGAGCACTACCGGCGCAGGATTCAATAGTATTGGCCTACACAACAGCTCCCGGAAAGGAGACGACCAGCTGATTTGGAAAGTTTTCTCGCCGGAACCACTGACAGCCGAGCAGTCGAAGAAGCTTTTCCCGAATGGACACAAATGCGAGACAGTTGGCTGGTGGGCCTACCCACAGTATGAGGTGGGGCACTTCGAAACTATTAGGAGGATCGTGGGACTTAGTAACGTTTTCAATGCCGTGATGAGGGTTATTTGATGATATAAGTAACTAGAAGTATAGTTGGCTTTGTTGATAACCTTATTTACTGGGTCCGATGTATTGCAACTATGAGGGTTTGGGCGCTGGCGTAAGGTTGTTAGGGTTTCGTTTCTACGCGGAACCTTGACAAGTGGAAAAGACCCCAGGCGACGGGCAAAAAGTTTGCGGATTCAGCTTTCTGCCTGGACGGAGCTGGCCTCTACTACTGCAATGCAATCGAGGAAGCGGCTAGTGCCACTCAGTGGTCAAGTTCGTGCAGATGTAACTAAGGTTTGCCTGCTGCAGGGTTATTTCTGTTACAAATAAAGGACTGACACAAACGCGGAAGCTCAAAGGCTCGCCCTTGATATTTCGTAACACTCTGGACAAGTGGGAGTTTCCGAAAACAGGGGACCCTAATATAGTACCCCAAATAGTAGGATCCTTATTATAAGGGCCCCAATATAAGGTACCCCCTATTTTCGGAAACCCCCAAGTAAGGCCATGGAGATGGCAGTGCTGGGAGCAAAGAACTGTGTTCTGCTCGCCAGCAACCGCCTCAAAGGAGCGACAAGCAATATCGACACCCCCTCACTGCCAGCGCGGCTTTGAAACAAGAGACCGCAGTCCTGGGGGATGGCTTGGGGTTGAGGGCTTCTATCGGCTTCCCGGATTAGAGAAATTTTGAAATGGTTTTAGCAATAGTAAGAATATTAAGGCACTAGTATAGTTGATAGTAGTAATGATCATAGCAGTAGTAACGATGTTCCTGATAATGGATGAAACATGTTGGTCTGTGTGTGTGTAGAGATATTTTAATATATATGTACACATGTATATGTTTACTTGTATATTCGTATATATGTATGTATGTCTTTCTGTATATATGTACATATGCATATATGTGTATATATGCATATATGTGTATGTTTGCATATTTCCATGTCTCTGTATATGTTTATGTATATGTAGCGACTCTGAGCCAGCCCAATGTCAAATCCCAGCCCGGGATCCGCAGCAGCAGCAAGTGCTGAGCACCCCAAGGTTTCAGGCCACTTAGGCCCTAAACCCTAAGTCTTACTTGAACTTTGAGCCCCCGCCGGAAGACAAAGGGACTTCAATGCAGTGTCTTTTCAACACGCTGCAGCATACCTGAGCAGTGATGTGATATTGGCTAGATTGTTTGCCAGTTTTCTCATGCGCAAGAGAGTCAGCTGCATAACATAGAAGCCAAAACGATCATCACTATTATTCCTTCAAGTTCGGCATTCTACTACGCTATACCCCCCCCGTACAAAAAATAGTTGTGACGATCCTTATGTTCCATCGTTGTTGCAGGTGTCTCAGCTGAGGATCGAGGTTGGGATAGGAGGGTTGTACCCAATATAGGGGCCTTAGAAATAACCCATGCTGCTTTGGTTGCTCCTTGTTTTAATTATCGGAACATACAAACCAAAGAGACTATTCTAATTATTACAGCCCCCTTACTATAGTACCCGTATAAATCTTTTTACAATAACACTTATAGACCTCTTTAAACGAAGCCCTATTCTAAGTATTAAGGCGCCTGTATTATTACCGTGATTCGAGGCCCCAGCAACTTGGCTCCCCATGGTCGTTGAGATTTTAACCGGGTTTAGGGGTTTTGGGTTTTAGGGTTTAGGGGTGAGGGGTTTAGGGTTTAGGGACCTACTGAGGGCAGGTGGGAAAAGGGCCCTCAAAATAAACCGACGCCCTCAACACTCTATGCTCTACTCAACTTTTCTCAGGTTTCGACTGCGCTGGTGGGTTCGTGGTCTCAGACTCAGACACCCCTACTTTCAATGTGCGGGCAACTTACCTGGGTTTTGCTTTGGGATAATTTTTAATTTCCCTTATTTCCTTATAAAGGGAACCTACTCAGAAATAATTTTCAAAGGGTTTAAAGAACAACCCAGTTACAGTTCGTCATTTAAGGTTTCAGGTTCATCTCTTGCCTGGGGGTTTCGGGTTGAGGGTTTTGGGTTCAGGGTTTAATTGGAGGGTCGGGGGAGTAAGTAGGTAGTAAGTAGACTTATAAGTACCCTAAAAGGGACCCTAATTGGGGTTATAGTATTTATAAGTCCCTAAAATAACCAGTTACTAAGTCCCCCGACCCTCCAATAAGGGTTCGGGGAGGGTTTTGTTCAGGGGTGTTCTGGCTGAGGGAGGGTTTGAACATGGCTCGGCCTCCGGAGGGTTTAAAGTTGAGGGTAAATAGAAATAGTTTTAAAGTTCTGGTTATTATACTCCCTAAGAAACAGCTAAAATTGCAATTTTTGCTAGGGTTTTAAGTTCAGTATAGTAAAGTTGAGGGGGCTGGTGTTAAGGGTTTTGAGTAGTTTTACATAATTTAGTTTAAGTTACCATAATAAACAAACCAGATTGTTTACCAATATCCTGACCAGCTGCAAGGCGACCCGAGAGGTATCAGGTTTTTGGGGCGTCATTCGGCAAACATGTACCACCTGGACCCCAAAAGTATGTAGCATAATAGGGACCTACAGTGGTTCTTAATAGGGAATGGGGGAATGGACTATGGAGACTATTATTGGGGATTGTATACCTGGGCCCCAGAAGTATGTAGAATAATAGCCTTTTGTAGGTTTTGGGCCATTATTTTGCTTACTTTTGGTGTCTAGGCAAGTGTGGTTTACTCAGCCGAATTTCTCCGAGCTCCGGTCACGCGCCATGCCGCTTCTGTTCGAGGAGGAGATCAACTTGCCGGGATGGCCCCCTGACCCCAGAGCAGCTTAAAGCCTCTATAAGGGATCTATAAGGGGTTCCCTTACAGGCTCCTTTTAAAGGAGTTCCTTCAGGGTTCCTTTAAAGGGGGTCTATAAGGCTACTAGAAGGGATCTATAATGGCATAATGGTTCTTAGTAGGGAATGGGGGGATGGATTATGGGGACTCTTATTGGAGATTGTATAGCCCTAAGCCGCAAGACAGCTCTGTCTTCTCGTGGAGGGCTACAAGGCTAGGAGTCAGCAGGATGCGCTCATTTGGAGCATCTTCTGAGGATCATGGGACTTACTAAGTAAGGTTATAAGTACCCCAATTAGGGTTATAAGTAGTTTTAAGTACAGTTACCCTAATTATAACGTCCCATGATCCTCCAAGTATCTCTCGGCCTTCAGCCTGGCTTCGGATTGTGAGCAGGCGCTGCTGTAGAAGGCCAGGCAGGACACCGCTGGAGGAGGTGGCATGCCAAGCTCAGGATAGTACTGCCGAGCACCTGAGCGACATGAAGGCGGCTGTCTTGGTTTTCAACCGTCAGGTGTGCCCCAGCTTGCGCCGCATCGTTCCGCTGGCAAGACTTACCATGGAAGAGGCAGTCAGTGCCGTGATGGTGAGCTTGCGCTATATCGCTGTGAAGACTCAGCGCAAGTCTCCATGTCGATGCCTCAGAAAAGGGCAAGAAGGCAGCCGCTGGGGCCAGAAGATGTTGGAAGCAGTCGTAAGTACAATTACCTTACTTGTACCCCTAAGTCCCATGATCCTGTAAGTGCGAGCTATTCGTTTCTCTATTTTCCCGGCTCAACTCCGACACTGCCAGAATCTTGTAGAGCCTTGTAAGAACCCTAAACCCTGAACCCCAAACCTTGTGCAAGCTCTATCTGGCACCCTGCCAACAGACACCTACTTCGCGTGCTTGTAATATAGGAGCGTGAATAGCTAGAACATAGGAATCGAGACATCATGTAGTCATGATATTAAGGGTTTTGGTAAGCTTAGGACCCTTACTGAAGCTAGTACTTTTTGCCCATCGGTTTTAGGGACATCATATGGTCACTATCTGGGTAAGCTCAGATAAGTTTAGGTCCTGTATTGAAGCTATTACTTTGTGCCGAATCGCTCGATCTTCGCCAAGGCCGCCGGCTATCCCGAGTGCATCAAAGGGGCCGCTGGCCCAGATCCGGGAATTCCTGACACTGGCAGACCTAAAGGGGTACCTAGAGCGTTCTGGGTGAAGATTTCGTGGTTTCGGGCTTAAGGTTCGGAGTGTGCAAGTTTAGCATTAAGAGGTTAAGGACTGGGCAGCCTAGAGTGAAGGCCTCGAAACGCCTAGTAGTAGAGTAGGTAACCTTTAACCTTTTTTTGGGCGGTGTAGTTCCTATATAATCCCTACAATACCCGAATTAAAAAGATTAACCTTTAGTTCCCTATGATACCCGACAAGTAGGAACGGGAATCTGGATTCCAGAGTTCAGGGCATCGGGCTTGGACTTGCCTTGGAGTAGGTCATCCGGGCCAAACTCTGAACCAAAACCTACTTGGAGGATCATGGGACTTAGTAAGTAAGGTTCTAAGTACCTTAACTGGGCTTATAAGTACTTATAAGTATGGTTACCCTAATTATAGCCCTAGTTACTAAGTCCCATGATCCTTTAAGTACGGGCTCGTCAGCTATCTCACTGCTGCAGCTTGACGTTGGGACAGCATTTCCCACGTTCCCATCTGAATTCGACTTCGCAGCACTTTCTGAAGCGTTTGAGATCTCAGGCGGCTAAGCTTTGCTGGGCTCTCCAGATGTGTCCTGAGATTTCGATTTGTTTGGCACCCGCCGGGTGGTTTAAGGTTTAGCAGATTGCTGCGTCCTGACTGAAAGTTCGAACCCTCCAACCAAACCATAGTTGAAATATGCTGACTAGAATAACAGCAATAAATTCAACCAGCATTACTAGTTATACCAATATACTCTAGAATAGGACTGAACAGAATAGCAATTACCAGGACCCCAGAAGTAGGTAGAATAACAGCCTTTTCTAGGTTTTGGGCCATTATTTTATCTACGTTGGGTGGTCTAGGTAAATATACGTAACAGAATCGAAAAGAACCAAATAATTCAGACTTCCAGTCCGCGCCACCAAGGAGTGGTCCTCGCTGGATCTCGCGAAATGTGAGGCCAGGCCACCCAAAGCCTCTAGGGTTGATGATGTAAATCCTGCATTACCTTAAGGACCCTCAACTACGGAATTATGGTATAGTCCTTAATATGGGTAATGCAGGATTTATATCATCAACCGTAGGAATGGCGCTCCTTTTGGCTCTACCTGCAGTCTCCATTGTAGCTCCTGTTTCTGAGTAGCAAAATTTTATGTTCTAGGTTCCTAAAGTCCTAAACCCTAAGCAATTACAACGGAGAATATAGGTAATAAGGCTCTATGGGAGTCCACAGGGGCCCTTTAATTAGGCTCCTGATGCCAGAAATTTGCAGGTTTGCGGTGTTTTAGGGCAGCGTTAAGGGCAATCTAGTTTTGGGGGCCTCAATAAGTAGAATAGGCTTTTGGGTGTATACTGTACTATATGTACTTGCAATGAGGAACTCCACCATCGTATTGGCAATTGTTTAAGGCCTTCAGCTGAGCGTCGTTCGCGCAGCCTCCTTTCGGCAGCATCTCCCCACATTTACAGCAGTAGATGCAACAATGACCTCTTGGAGGATCATCGGACTTAGTAACTAAGGTTATGAGTACCTTAATTGGGCTTACAAGTATTTATAGGTATGATGGTTACCTTAATTATGAGCCTAGTTACTAAGTCCCATGGCCCTTTAAGCTGCAACAGGACATCTCCTGACTATGATTCTTCT